GAGAAGGAAAGTGAGAAAGCAAGCTGCCAGGTCTGGGACTCGAACTATAGTCAGCCATGGGGGAGTCCAGTACCCTTAACCACCATGCCACCTGTTGGCTCCCCTTCTTTGTATTTTAAAAGGGAATGGTTTCTTATCAAGCCCTGAAATATGGAATAGAAATTAGAAATTAAGCTGTGGTATTGAGGGAAAACCTGGTCCAAGAAGCAATTAGCAGCAGTCCTGACAGCTGTTAGTGCTACATCACGAAAGAGTTCGTCCACATACCAAATAGCAGGGTATCCATCCAATTGAGTGTGGCCTTGACATTCTTTTTTCTGTTTCTGGCAATAGTCTTGATTTTTCATTTATATAAATTATTATGAAATTAATTATTTTTTTAAAAAAAGAATTATTTATTTGATCTTATTATTATTTCTTTTAACTTACTTTAGGGCATGTGTGCTTACCAGAGAAAGAGAAAGTGAGAAAGCAAACCACCAGGTTCGGGATTCAAACCGTGTTTGGCTATGTGGAAGTCCAGCACCGTAACCACCATGACACCTGCTGGCCCTGTGAAATTAATTTTTGTCTTCAGATTTTAGTCTTGAAAATGGATGATATGAATCATAACTCACTTTAATAGCATATTTAAGCATTATAAAAAATGTTTGCAGGACCAGAAGTTAGCATAATGGCTATGTCGCTGGACTCCCACATAGTCGACCGCGGTTTGAGTCCAAGACCTGGTGGCTTAAACCTCACGCCAGGCATATGTGCGTGCGTGCCCAAGATCCCGAGAGGAGAATGGAGGAGAAGGGATTGTGGCGTGGCCATCCCCCCCTGGAGGGTGATTTCTCGTTTTCTGTCTCTCTGTCTCTCTCTGTCTGTCTGGTGAGCACACGCGCCCTATAGCAAAAACCTCTCCAAAAAAAAAAAAAGTTTGCATTTTTTAAAGGTTAATGGGGCTAGCATAACATAGTAGTTAAAGCATTGGATTCCCATGTGGCTGATTGTAGTTCGAATCCAGACCCAACAGCTTAAAAATTGCATCAGGCACCAGTGCATGAATGCCCAAAATCACAAGAGGAGAATGGAGGAGAAGGGATTGTGGTGTGGCCACCCTCAGGGGTGGAGGGTGGTTTTTCACTTTCCCTGTCTATCTCCAGCCAGTGCACATGCTCTGTGGCAAAAACCTAAAAAAAAAAAAGAAAAGAAAAAGAAAAGTTAATTTTAGTCTACCAATTTTTATGCACACTATAAATATTGAACTGCTTTACACTTATAACAGGTACATTTTATGTTCACGTTAATAAAAACTACATCGTATTATCATTCTTTCACTGAATGATAGATATGTTTCTTTTTCTCATTAAGCAGATAATTTTAATGTAATTTTTTTCTTCAAAAGTTTATTTGTCCGTGAGAAATAGACAGGGAGAGGGGTGGGGCACAGATAAACAGAGGTACCCCCAACAGAGTCTTTACACTGCAGTTCACACCCTGCCTCAGCCAACGTGGATCATGGCATGCACGTGTGCCCGGCATGTACAGGGAGACCTCAGGATGTGAATGCAGGACCTTTCCATTTGGGTTCAGCATCGAGGAGCATTGCTGCCACTGTGCCACTGCAGCTGGCCCTGCACATTGTTTTATTTATTTATTATAGAGCACATGTGCTTGCCGGAAAGACAGAGAGACAGAAAGCAAGAAATCACTCCTCAGGGGGAATGGTCACATCGCAGTCTCTTCTCCATTCTCCTGTTGGGATTTTATGCATGTGCCTGGTGTGTTTTAAGCTACTGGGTCATGCCTTTTTTTAAAAGAGAGAGTTTTGCTGTAGAGTGTGTGTACTTGCCAGAGAGACAGAAAGTGAGAAATCACCCCCTGGGGGTGGGGTGGATGGTCACGCAGCAATCCCTTCTCCTCCATCCTCCTCTTGGAATTTTGGGCACGCACGCACGTGCACCTGCACCGGCATGAGTTTTAAGTTGCTGAATCTGAGACGTGAACTTCACTTGCCTATATCAGAGTCCAGTGACATAACCATTATACCATCTGCTGGTCCCTATATTCCCTTTTTATAGTGATTAGGATTGAAAACAGATGACATATCATAGGAATTTTTTTTAATGCTCGGTAGCAGAAAAAGAAGTAGAAATTATTAGAAAGGGTGATAATGGGCCAATCCCCGAAGTGCAGGGGCTGAGCACTGTGTATGGGAGCCAGTTCTTGCACAACCGACTGCTGTTCGAATCTTGAAAAACATACCACATGTGTGTGTACATGCCCAGAATCCAGATGGAAAGCAGAAATGGAGGAAAAAGGATGATGGTGTGACCAGGCCCTCTTGGGGGACATTTTTCTTTCTCTGTTATGCGCTTGCACGGGTCCCTTAGCATTAAAAAAAAAGTGTGGGGATAGCAAGACTGATCACTGTGAGCATACTGTTAAATATTTTATAGAAGATTATTGTCTACTTTAGTCTTAAATGTGTTTTGCCAATAAACAGGGCACCAAGATTCTGTGTTACTCACTCATCCTCAACAAAATACGCTAGTGCTGAATTGAAATTCTGGCACCTCCGTCAAGAGAAACCAAGGAAGGATATTGATCCTTTCCCACAAATGGCAACCCTCTTGCCATTAAGACCCAAATCTTGCATCCCAATGATACCTGAGATCCAGGTAAGCTGTACAATTTGATGCTTTGATATCTGTGAGGTTTATAGTAAAATATGTTTGGGCCTTTGTACACTGTTGTAGCTGTTGCTAAGGTACTTCTTACAACAATCAGGACATTAGCCTACAGTGTATTTCCCACCAACTAGCCAAGTGATCCTATAAAGAATAAATGATCATTTCACTTATTTGCTCAGAATTCTCCAGTGGCCAGCTCTCTCATGCAGTATAAAATCCAAAGTCTTGACATCCTTGTGTAAGCCCTTGCTAATCTCCTGACCTCATTTGTTACCACTCTTCTCTTACTCCCCTCCAACCATGATGATCTCATTTCTTCTTTGTTTTTTCCTTGTTTTTCTAGTTCTTTAAGGTGCATCCTTAGTAGGTTGTTGTTTTGAAATATCATGTGATTTAATTTTCATGTATTTTATTTGTACAGCTTCCAAAGTTCCTCTTGTTGATTTCTTTCTTTTTTCTTTTTTGAGAGGTTTTTGCTATAGGGCACCTGCGCTCACCAGAAGGAGAGACAGAGAGACAGAAGGCAAGAAATCACCCTGTAGGAGGGATGGCCACATCACAATCCTTTCTCCTCCATTCTCCCCTAGGGATCTTGGGCATGCATACACACATGCTCAGAGTGAGTTTAAGCCACTGGGTCTGGGACTCTTAACCACAGTCGACTACATGGGAGTCCAGAGACTTAGCCCTTATGTCAACTGCTGGTCCCCTCTCTTGTTGATTTCTAGTTTCATGCTGTTGTGGTCACAGAAAGTACATAATGTGATTACAAAAGTTTAAAGTTTATTAATGACTATTTTGTGGCCTGACATGTGGTCTATGCTTGTTTTTTGAACATGCCAAGCAAAATGCTCACGGTGTTGCACTTGCTGTTCCTCTTGCTTGGGACACTTTTCAAATATCCATGAGACTTGCCCCCTCCCTATCTTTATGCATCTGCTTAAGTATCACTTAATCAGAGAGGCTCTTTGTCTCTTCCATGTAAGCCCCCATATGTAGATGTCCGCAGACCCTCCATCTCTGTGTCCTTTGCTTTACTTTGCTTTATTATCTCTATGACTACATGATTTTTCTATTTATTGATTTTTACCTTCTAGAATATAAGGGACTTTTGTTTATTAACTGCTTAGCCCCAGTACCTAGAATAGTGCCTGACACATAATAGTTTAGCAAATATGAATTTAATGAATGAATGAGAAGTAGTAATTGCAGTTGGAAGTAGGGAGCAACTTTTCATGTAGGGAAGAACAAAACAGAAAAAGATAAAGGAAAAAAGAGAAAAAAAGCTAATTTAACTTTATAGAGAAGAAATAACCTTACATGCTTTGGTATAGTGATACAATAACTGTAAGTAAGATATTCATTACAGTAGTAGAGAGCCTTCTTACCATTAGTAGCCTTGGTGCCAGCAAGTGGTGTGGTGGTTAAGGTGCTAGACTCCCACATGGCTGACCATAGTTTAAGTCCCTGACCTGGTGACTGGAAAATCAAGCCAGGTGCATATACTCATGTGCCCAAGATCCCAGGAGGAGAATGGAGGATAAGGGGTTGCAGCAGTGTCATCCCCCCAGCGAGTGATTTCTTACTTTCCCTTTCACTGTCTCTTTTTGTCTCTCTGGAAACAAAAATGTCCTATGGCAAAAGCCTAAAAACGAAGAAAGAAAAAAAGAATTGGTAACCTTAAAGTTGCCACAGAACATGAAATGTTATGACCAAGTCACACAAAACCTCTTCAAAAGACTGCTTTATGCCCATTATGTTAAGGATTTTTCTTTTCTTTTCTTTCTTTTTCTTTCCTTTCCTTTCCTTTCCTTTCCTTTCCTTTCCTTTCCTTTCCTTTCCTTTTTTTTTTTTTTTTTCCAGTTCTTGTGTTTGGGCACATACGCTTGCCAGAGAGTCAGAGAAAGACAGAGAGAGAGGGAAAGTGAGAAATTGTTGCAGGATGACTTCTGTGATATCTAGGTTCTTGGTGTTTCTGACAAAGAATTGAACAAAACATGCCAATAGTGAAAGGAAAAGGAGGTTTACGAAGTAGAAGCAAAAGTACACTTCCGAGAGATAGGAGCAGGCCTGAACAGACAAAGAATGGCAGTTACATTCTGTGAGGTTTATAACTTTTTAATATGGGTTGTGTGGGTTGATCATTGACTGAGCCCTCAGAATGTTCTTATCTCACTGGCTCTGTCAAATGTGGCTAGGCCCTTTGATTTCTCATTGGCTCTCTCAAATGTAGCTGGGTCCGTTGATTTCTCATTGACTATGTCTAATGTGGCTGGGCCCATTGATTCATCTCATTGGCTATATAAAATTGTGGCTTAATCAGCTAGACCTCCCCCACCCCCAACTAATCTCCTGCCAACATTACCTTAGACAGGAAATTTTTGTCCTGATTGTTTTTTCTATCTAGCCACATGGGAAGATTGTTCTGACCCTTTTACCCACTTCCATTTTCTGGCTTTCTCCTGCTGTAGAATCACTCCTCCAGGGGAGTTGGCCATGCTGCGATCCCTTCTCCATTCTCCTCTTGGGATCTTTGGCACATATGCACATGCACCTGATGTGTTTATCAAGCTGCTAGTTTTGGGACTTGAAACACTCCATCAGCCATGTAATATCCAGCCACCTTAACCTCCATGTCACTGCCTGGCCCCAGTATATCTTATTTTTATCTCTCTCTCTCTCACTTTTTATTTATTTATTTTTTTTTATGTTTTTGCCATAAGGTGCTTGTATCGCTGGAGAGAGACAGTGAGAGGGAAAGTGAGAAATCATCCCTCCAGGAAGGATGGCCACCATCACCATCTCTTCTCTTCCATAGATTTTTGAACATGCATGCACACATACTTGGCATAATTTTTAAGCTACCAGGTCAGGAACCATGGTCAGCCCTGTGGGAGTCCAGTGCTTTAACCACCACACTACCTGCTGACCCAGTATACCTTATTTTAAAGGCAGGAAAATGTATAACATAGTTTTAAAGTTTTACTTCTACTACTGATTGTTTTTTTGTCAGTGGTTTCTTTCCCTTTTTTTTAGTTTTTTCCATAGGGCATGTTTTGCAAGGTTCTTTTCTCCTTATAGATATAGGGAGTTGGAAGAAGACATGAGACACTGATGTCATATTGGCTGAGTTCAGTGGGAGCTCACAGAACTGTTAGTAGGCTCACAAAGCCCATAGTAGCACTTGCAAGTGCTTCTTCCCTTTTGAAGCTTATAACACACAAGGAAAATGCTTACAGAGCAGCTTCCTTCCTCTTGGAGCTCACAGTGTGCAGAGTTGAGCTGAGTCCAGCCCAGTCTGAGCCAAGCTAAGGCCATCAGGGTTGAGCTGAGTCCAGCCCAGTCTGAGCCAAGCTAAGGCCATCAGGGCTGAGCTGACCGAACCAAGGCCAGGTGGATCAAGGCTAGCTAGCAGGGCAGCGCTAGCTCACCAGGTAATCCTTTCTCTTAAAGGGGCTGCAGACAATAGCGACTCATTGCCAAAACCAGACTGTTGTGCACACACACGTGTGGTACATGCAATGGTATAAGACAGCAAAGTTGCCATTACATAACAAGTGTGCAAGTATAGTACAACTAATTACATAAATTGTTTACCTGTGGCCTTCAAACATGATAAGATAGGAGGAGAGGGAGCCAGACTAAACCATCCTAACTCTATTTGCAATGCAGGGTGCATGCGCTCACCACAGAGAGACAGAGAGAGGAAAAGTGAGACAGCTCCCCTCAGAGGGGATGGTCATACCATAATACTTCTTCTCCACTCTTCTCACAGGATTTTGGGCATGCATGCACATGCACCCAATGTGACCCTCAAGCCTCTGGGTCCAGGACTCGAACTGTGGTTGACTATGTGGAAATCCAGCATCTCAACCATCATGCCACCTGCTGGTCCCTCTGTCAGTGGTTTCTTAATTCTAGATACATATTCAAGTCACCTGGACAATTTTTAAAGCATATAGACATCTGGGTCCCACCTTCAGAGATTGTGACTTAAGTGACCTAGAAAAAAGGGTCAGGGTCACTGTGTAAAATCAGGGAGCTGACTTAGAACCAGGTCTCAAA